CAAAAGAAAAAAAAAAACTTGTTTGTGGAATTGGTTCTCTAATGGCATCAGGCTGTAAAACTATTCTAGGTTCTAGCTGCAGTCGTACTTTTTAAGAGATTATTATGGTAGTGTGTTTGGTCAAGGCCATCATGTTATGTGTTTCAGACATTAGTTATTTCGACACATAAGTTGGACAGGTGTGAGTCACAAAAGAAAGTGTAAATATGTCAGAGACATTAAAAAAGAGTCCTGTTTGTTGTTTTCACACAAATGCTAGCGTATTTGGTGACTTTTCATGAGACAATGACGTCACCTGTAACTCAATACAGCCTACAGATCCAATGACGCACACAAACACACTGTGAAACAGAAACCATGAATAGGCTACTGCAGTTAGACATAGACCAACACCCCTGGTGAACATATCCCAAATATATGTTGTACATGAATGCATATTTGTGCAAGAACGAATGAGTAAATAAGGAAAACATGAGGCCAAGAGAGAAACGGTGATGGTTGTCCGATGGTTTCGCCTGGAGCTCACAGACTCATCGGCTCTGATCAACCTTTAGATAGAAACTGAGACACTGTTACACAATCCCAACCAGCCAGGCCTGGGAATGAATATCTTCTCTCCATCTAACCCAACACAATATTCCAGCAGGTGCTCTGGAGTCCAAAAATGATGGAAAAAAATTATACTTTATGAGGTCTATGAGTCTTTCTAGTTACTCATATGCGGGCTTCTGTTTTTTTTGTTTTTGTTTTTTATTGGGAAGAGCAATAGCGCCGTATTATCATGATCTCCCTCTCTCTCTCTCTCTCTCTCTCTCTCGCACACACCAGCAAATTCAGTTTTACCTGGAAGGCATTAAAGGGATTTGGAGTGTTATCAGGGCTTTTATGGCGTAATTGCCACACCCTGCCATTTCAAAAACAAATAAGTATGACTTACTCTATGATACCAACTAAACTGACAGCCTCCTAAAACAAACACACACACAAGAAAAGATTTAACAAAACAATTTCTAAAAAAAGACACAGGCAAACCATACAAACAGGATGGAACAGGACACAACAGAAAGACAAAACACAAACAGAGTGAGCAGGGGGAGGGGGGGGGGGGGGGCCC